GTGAGAATAGGGGGGATATTGTGGATGCAGGGCAGAAGATAGTCTGATGTCATAGTGAGAAGAAGGGGACATATTGGGGGTCATTGTGAGGAGAGGACATATTAGGGGGCCATGGTGAGGAGGAGGATATTGAAGGTAAAGGACACACTAGTCTGAGGTCATGGTGAGAAGAAGGGGAGATATTGGGGATCATGGTAAGAAGAAGGTGCAAGCTAGCATGAGGTCATGGTGAGTACAAGGGCAGATAAATGGTTAAATAACTCTTTAAACACTTGCCTGATTCCTGGTCCAAGGTTCGGGCTCCTCCGATATCAGCTGAACCGGGGAACCTAATGTGCATATACGGTGACCGCCTTCCCCCTAGGAAAGCATTGAATCACTGTGGGGACGTCTTCATGCACAGCCTTGTTTCACTGAGTCAAACTCTGTGATACTGCAGGAAGCGCCTCTAGTGGCCGTCTGGTAAACATGTAAACACTACAGTTTCTCTAAATCTGGGACACTGCAAGCCAACCACTTCAGTCAGCAGTTTTAGTAAATATAGATCGTGCCCATAAATTCTCTGCTTTTTAGGAGGTAAATCACTTTATTTATTATGCAGCCCTAGCCACACCTCCCCTCGCTGTCACTCACACATAGAGGTCACATATGTATATGTATTCATAATACACAAGTTGCTGTTTAGTGGATAGGTGAGTGCGCTGGATATTGTGTATTGTATAAATTGGCCCCCAGCAGCACCCCATTTATGCATGTCCAGGTGAGTGCAGCCCCCTGGTTATTTATATATATATATATATATATATATAGTGTGAGCTAGGATCAGATAGAGGTCACCGACTTAAACTGAGGTCAGATGGCTCATTGTAAGGTGGAACCAGATGTCATAGAATGAGCAGAGCTTACAGTGTGAGCAGGTGGTCAATCAGAGGTCACTATCTAAGTAGGGGGTCAGTCAGAGGTCACTATCTAAGCAGGGGGTCCGTCAGAAGTCACTGTCTAAGCAGGGGGCAGGCAGGGGTCACTATCTAAGCAGGGGGTCCGTCAGAAGTCACTGTCTAAGCAGGGGGCAGGCAGGGGTCACTATCTAAGCAGGGGGGTAGGCAGAGGTCACTATCTCAGCAGGGACAGACAGCTCAATATATAAGCAGGGGCAGACAGAGGTCACTATCTAAGCAGGGGGCAGACAGAGGTCACTATCTAAGCAGGGGGCAGACAGAGGTCACTATCTAAGCAGGGGGCAGACAG